ATGTGACGGTCAGCAGCGCGTCGTCTCGTTCTGGGCACTGATGCTTCGCAGGATGGCACCGTGGTGGGAGACGTGCATGGCGGTTGGTCAAACTCACTGTCGGCAAGTGAGGTAAGGTAGGTCACGTACAGTGATGGAGGGGTGCCATGTGGAGGGGCTCATGACGAGGGGGGGGCAGAGGGGGAGGGGCAACCAGAAACAAGGGTCGTTCTGGGGTTAGCTGGGAACATTGGGGGATCGGGTGGCGCGAATCGCTGGAACACATGGGCAAAGTGACAGGGTCCGCAGTGAACGATGGCCGAGCTCTCTGCTCGCGTCTGTACCTTGCCGATGGTTCTGAAGGGGTGGGCCCTTAGATCGACCTTGACGTCGTGATGGCTTCACTTGTGGGGTCACCGAGATGCGTGTCGCTACGACCGCGCCGAATTGGTCCAGAGCAGTGCTATCACGATCAGTATACGATGAGTATACTGTAGCCATTGATCTTGTGAGCCAACAAGAGAAGGCACTGGTCTTCATAGCTGGCGGCAGCATATTTGTTGAAGTGAGAAAGGACTGGGAGGTCGTGAGTCCTCGTGGAACTATATTCCGAAATGGCACCCTCATCTCATCATAGATTCTGAAAGCAGGCAGAGATTTCTCGACTTCCCTTCTCACCACGTTCTCAGTCTTTCCCTTCTGGCTACGCCCAACAACTCGCCCGTTGATCACGACTCGCATCGCGTGGCTGTGTTGAGGAGCCAATCAGAAGCCGCGAATACTGCACACTCTCGGCTTCACGTCCCTGGCTGGGCACACTGAACCCCAACGACCATTGTCGTGAGCCATGGTTGCGGCCATTCTGCTCGGAACCCGGCTCGAGCGTCACTCCTGCTGTGCTCGTTGTTCTGTCAATGCTCTTCGAATGACATTCCCTCGTGTGGGGTCTGATTGGACGCCAATCGACGTTGTTGAGAGCAGCATACTGCTAGGGCCACGGTCATCGAGTCGGCTAGGGATTCATCGGATGCCGAAACCATGTCGATCGTGCGGATTTTGTCGGATCGCAGTCTGCGCATGAAGGACAAGCGAGCAATGCTGACGTCGGGGATAGACCAGCACACAGCCCGAATGCAGTTGGCTTGCCCTCGGGAGTTCATTGAATGTTGCTTCTAAGACGTCTTTCATGCCAAGATCGGAGCCGTTGACCTTTCGTCAAGGAGTCAAACGGGCGGGCCGACGAGTGCCAGAAATTATCGAAACCTTGTAGTGCAAAGTAGCCCAACGAGCTCACGCAGGTTCTGTCACAAGATCCAAGATTTGACAATCAAGCAGTAAATTGCTGGCGAACATGTCTTCTTATCGGGGCCGCTAACATTAAACTATATCAAGCCCGCGAAACAGCTATCGAGGCCCGTCGATTGCCGTGCAAGAATCAACACCACGAGGCGAAGCCCTCTCTATCGTCATGAAACGATGATAAAAAAAATACATACAATAAGAGACAGTGGTATCAAGGAGTGGTGCAACGCCGATTTCATAACCCGCCGCCGACAGACACGCATGGTCGCAATCATCACCAACCCATCCCGAGCAGCATGCCCGCCCCGACGACAACGGCCCACGTCGGACCCGAGACGCGCCACGAGTAGGATGCCGCCGCCGTCTGCGTGAAGCTCGGTTTCGTCGCCTCGACCCTGACGTTGGCGACGAGCGATTCCTTCTCCGGCTCATACCGCTCCGTCGTAAAATTGCACGACGCAAGAATCGCCCTCATCGCTGCCACCAGTTAGCTTCGTGCCTTTGTTTTCTCTTAAGAGGATTGAGTCGCAGTCGCGGGAAGGTGGGATCACTTACGCCCCTGATCGCCAGAGACCTGTTCCAGACAGTCGCCGCACAAGCCGGCCACGCGCCGCACGTTGAAGCTCGTGTTGCTGCAGATGCACGCCGTCTCGAGGTCGCTTGCCGCTTGGCGGCCCTTCTGCCCGGGCCAGAGGTTGCCCGCGTCGTCGACCATGTCGCCGACGTTGCCGTTGAGGCTGTTGCTGGGGGCGGGGCCGGCGTCTACGCCGTCGCCGGCATCTGCCTCATTGCCCACGGGCAGCGGCACTTGCGTCGACGAAGCCGTTGCGAGGGGCGTCGACGCTGGCACCGAGGGAAGGATTGGCGTCGCAAGGATGGGGAGGTTGGGATTGAGGTTCGTCGGCGTCGTTGTTGGTCGCAGATCGAGGACTGGTAGCGTTGGTGCCGGAGCGGCGGGCGTGACGGCCATCGAGGGCACGCCCGTGTCGGCTGGTGGCAACGGCGTCGGTATTGTCTTGAACTTGCCGATGGAACCGGGGATGAAGATGACATCGGCCGCTTGTTGATTGTTTGTTGAGCTGGGAACCGGTGCTGGTGCTTGCGGTTCTGGATCGGCCTGACGCTTGGCCTTTGGTGCTGATTGCTGCTGTTGTTGTTGTTGCTGCTGCTGCTGTTGTGGGCTGAATAGTTTCCGCCTCTTCAACTTGCGCAGCTCATCGGTGCCGTCGACATCGCACTTGTAGCTCAGCTCGACGATAGGGCCGCACATATTGGCACAGGCGAGTGGAACATCATTTGGCGTCAGCTCCTCGGCCACGCTGAGGGCGGCGAGGAGCAGGAGAGAGGCTGTCTCGGTCCTCATTGTCTGGTCGAAGGAGCTGTTGGAGAGCGCCGCCAGCCGGTCGAAGCCAGACCGAACAGTGGCGACGTAATCAGACCCGGAAGCAAACGCGTGATGCGTACACGATGTTACGTGGTAGTGGTGATCTTGAGTAATGTCAAGATCGTGAGGATGAACCCAGGGGCGATGGTAATCAGCGGAGAGGGGGGGGGGGGGGGCTGGAAGGACCAAGAGGATCAACGTCAGAACAATAAGTTCAATGACTATAGGGTGACTAGGATGAAGACGTCGATGATGCGGACTGTCTGGGTTTGATGTGCAGCAGCTTGCCCTCTCCCCTTTGCCTGAGCCCCCGGACTCTCGAGGAGCTGCTTCGAAGAGTCTGAAACGCGAGCCATCTTGGTTGGGCCTCCTCTCTCCGTCGGCACGGGCACAGAGCACAACCCCTTCTCCTTCTCGAATGGTGTGGTTCTTGAGAAATCGGCCTTATCGTCGTCCGATTGACCGCGTGTGGGCATACTCGGCCGTACACCCGAGTCCCAAGCAGCACAAGGGCACGGATCTGGGCCCCCGACGCCGGCGATGGGATACAAATCCGGTCGACTTGTGCGGCATGTGGTGAGAACAGACGGCTGACGCTGCTATTATGGGGACCTGATGGGCATCTACGGGGGCGCGATTGGAGGCTTGGCCGTCTCGGAACCCCTGAAAGTTCTCTCGTGGTGCGACGGAGCGCTGGATCCCAAGGAGCCCTCAGTGCCCTCAAGGGCCATTTTTGAAACACGGCCCTAGAGCTCATCCTTCGCCAATCGCGTCGCGAGTATATCAGACGTAAGGGGAACCTTTGCTGCTCCTCGAGGCAGCCATTGTTTCCTGGAGGTCGTGGTCGGGCGCCGTGAGATGAAAAAAGGTGGCCGACATGGCGTCTTGAATAGAAGTGGTGGATGGCAAGCTGTTTGTGTGCGACACGATGCGGACGAATGTCTGCTCGTCAAGACTCCGTGAAACATTCCCTATCCCCCTTCTCCTGTTCAACCTGAACCAACCTCGTGCAATGAGATCGACAGTCGACGGCCTTCTATCCGACCACATGGCCGGTTCAAAGACCACCCAGACAACTGGGTTGTTGGTCGACCGACCTCTCTCTCTCTTGCGCGTTGCGAATGATTCAGAGCCCTTGCTCTCTCCTCCAAAAGAGTGTCCTCCTTGCGCATGAACCTGGGAGCCACGATGACCCCCTCAAACCCGCCCATATCGCTTACTCCCGTCCCCGCCGCCCTCAGTGCTCATCAAACTACACGTCAAGTCACGTCACCGATCCTCTGATCTCTGCCCCTTGCTTTGCTTCTGGTCGGACATGACTTTCATCTACGTCTCTCGCTGACTCTCTTGGATGACGAACCGACTTGCTTCTGGAAGCTGGCTTGGCTACGTGTGTCATGCATCCTGATCCATCCGATGGGGCAGGCTGGTACCAAACTCCAGGCTTGGCCTACCATTCTGCTGGCGCATCACCCACTAGAGTCGAGTCAACCACGGCGTCTGCGCTCGCCGAACCTCATGCCGCCAACCAAGTCCCGCCGCGACTTTTCAGTTTATGCGCTCCGTCGGCTGCCATGACGCCGTGCCGACGCTCGTGGTGTTTCTTGGGGCCATTGACCTATAGCGCCCACGACCCTGTAGTCCAATTCATCGGCTTTCGTCCTGCTTCGGGACGTGGCGCTCAAGTCTGCTAATGCGTGAAGTTTCGTCCAGCACCAGCAGGACCTGGTAATTCTCTAGCAAGCAGACGAACAATCGAAGTTATCGCCTTTCTGAAGATGTGCCTAGGCTGTCACTGCAGTGTCTGCTGCACCGATGGACTGCTTGCCTGGTCTTCATTATTCATCCACTGTAAAAGGACGTGCTGTTGCCGGACAGGCCCGCTTACACGAGACATGTCTTGGGTGTAGAAAACAGACAGCAGACTACATGAAACCAAGTTTCGCGAACTTGAAATTCAACTGAAATGGCACGAAATCCGCCCTTCAGCACATGAAAGAGGTTGGACTTGAGACCGTCATCCACCGACCTTGTGCTGGCTACCTCCGAGGACAAGGCTTCCAATTCCAAGGTTTCTAAACTTCCCATCCTTCAGGCGTCCGGTAGAGGGATATTCTTGTTCACGACACCAATGGCATTCTCAGATTGACGAGGCCGCCAAGACCCAGTGTGTTACAGGGCCGAGCCCCCGGTAGATCTGTAGGAATGCTAGGGACCCAGATGGCTTGAGGTAACACGGTTCCATGGTTTTTTAGACTATGCACATCAACCAGACCGACCGCAACGACGGGTGAATTGTCTGTCGTTTCTTGGTACACGCTTTTGCCCTGAAAACTCAGGCCATCTCCTTGTGATCAACATCGGCTCCCTTGATAGCCATGACGGCATTCTCCGATATGGTGGCAGCCTCTACGCCGTCGAAAATAACGGACATCTCCTTCAGAGAGAGACCCTTTGTTTCCGGGTAACAGAAGTAGACGGTGCCGGTGACAATAACCAGAATGACAGCAAAAAAAATATAATATTTCCACCCAGTCGCATCCGTCGCAATCGGGTTGACGAAGATGTTGAAAAAGATGGCAAAGTAGGTCGACAACTGCGTCAGGGCAATACCACAGGCGCGAAGCTGGTACGGCCAGATCTCTGCGTGATACGAAACCACGAGGGGTGTGCTGCATCACTGGTCAGACAATAAGTTACAGCCGCTACAGCACATGGGTATGCCTTACAAGGCGAGATCGTAGAATCCGTAGTAGATGTAGAGGAACGGCACGACAGCCAGGCCGACGGAGCTCATCCCCGTCTGCGCAAAGCTGCTGGACAAGCCCGAGATAATAATGTAGCTGATCAGCATGCCACCTGAACTTAGCAGGAAGAGCGGGCGACGGCCAACCCTGTCGACGTTGACAGCAGCCAGCACGGCGAAAAAGAGGTTCCAGATCTGCAGGCATCCATAGATAAGTGTCTGGTGTGTCACAGATATAATGCCAACACTCTGAAGTACGAGGGCAAGGTAATATGGTACGACGCCGACACCGTTCCAATGAGCGAATATACCAAGCATCACCGAGATGAAGGCTCGATGGCGATTCCCATTTGTCGCGAAAAGCTCTGCCCAGGATGTGGTGCTGGCCGCGTTGCTGTCGGCTTTGATGGCGTTTGCTACCTCCGCCATTTCAAAGTCGACCAGACGGGAGTTCACTTCTCCGCCAGAGTGAAGCTCGGTCAGAATGTTCTTGGCTTTGCTCGTCTGGCCTGTGGAGATGAGGTAATGAGGCGATTCGGGGATCAGCAGGACGCCAGGGAGGACGACAAGGGGCACAGCGACCTGCAGGAGCGAAGGGATCCGCCACGCCCAGTCAGAAGCATAGTTGCGGGTACCACAAGTAGCCTTCGCTGCCAGCGTTGATCCAATATACCGTCCACAGTTGTACAAGACGTTAGGAGAACTCTATGCGAAGGATACGCAATCTCTGTGATGAGGAGGGGGGCAAGACCACCCCACCAGGCACTTGGCTGACCCAAGAAAAAGCGACTGATGACGAAGCCGGCGACGTTTGGCGTGAAGGTTTGTAGAAGAGCATCAAGTACCAGAAAGAAGTAACCAACATAGAGGCCCTTCATGCGACCCCGACGATTCGCGAAATAGACCACCATCGGGTAGGCCAGCGTCGAGGACAAGGCTTGAAACAGCGTCGATGAATCCCAAACCAGGCACCTTTGGGATGATTCATGAAGTTGAACCACTGTGGTAGCGCCATGAGACCGTTCATCATACTGCCGTCGTATCCGTTTGCTGCCACCAGAAGACACATGCAAAGACAGTACTAGTTGAGGCGGAAAAGGTGGCTCTTTCTGTACCACGCTACTCCATCTCTCGGTATGAGCTATGCCAGATCGTCGCCAATGGCAGACTTTTTGGGCTTTGGATTGTTTGATTTACCCAACATTGTGACGCCGATGACAGTGCCAAGCTGTGGATGGCTCAATGAAGAAGGAACCGACAGAAGTGAGAGAGGTAGTTGGCTGATGCGTGGGTGAGCGCCTGATTTAGTTGTTGGCTTCTCGATGACTGACGGAAAGACTTCTTGGTCATATATATCAACTTCACTCGGCATGTGAACAGGGAAAATCGAGCGTGGACTATTTCATCCCCGATCACACCATGTACGAGATCCGGGGTGCTAGCGGCCACCTGGGGAAATCTGGGGTAGTAGTGATGCGGACCGCGCGGAGTCTCGGTCACCTCTGCAAACGAGGAATATGACTCGCTCTGTCGATACTAGTGACGAATCCAGCTGAAAGCCTACATGTAAGTCTCATCTGCAGGGCGCAGTGGCATGTTTGCGTAGTTGGGATGGGCCCAGCTTTTGACAGTGCCGATTGGCTCCTTTGTATCAGCTTGGTCTTGTTCTAATTCCCCCGTCACGGAAAAAGATTCCGGTTGCCATTGGCAAGGTCTCGCATTAGTCACTGCAGGTAGTCCTCTAAGACCTGGATAGCTCGGGTGATGCCAGGTCCTTCTTCCTCCCAGAATCGCATCCTCTCAATGCACTGACGAATGTCAGCTCTCCAGTCCACCCCGACAGGCATTGTAAATTTTCCAGATTTGACTGCCGCCAGCACAACAAATGCACATGTAGCCGCTACCCGAACGCCATACCAAGAGCCATGATGCCGGTGAGACAAAGGCTCCCCCCTGATCCCGCTCAGGTGCCACGATATCGCCTGGTCTACCAGTGGCTGGACCATGGCCCGATGAGGTGCTCCGAGAGGGTTGTGGATTGCGTAATAGAGGAACGGGCGGTAGAGCCAAGTCTTGATCTCATAGACTCGACCTTTGACCATGTACGGCAGCTCTCGTGGGCACAATTCCAAGTCATCAAAGCGGATCGGCGGTGGCAATCCGTCGTACCTATGTTATAATCCGTATCAGCAATACATCTCAATTGATTCACATGCGACGATGATTAACCGATGAGTTCATACCAGTCAGATAGTTGCTGTTCGAACCCGCGTGCTGCTTGAGCCATGAAGCCGATTGTCTCGGTATTCCACCCTTCATGTCCATTCTGGTAAAACTCATTCAGAATGTCGTTTGCGATCCTTCTGAGAGTGATTTCGGTCAAGTAGTAGTACCAGCTTTCTTCTTGCTGCAGTATCAAAGAAGCTGATAGGCGGCTTGGCACTGAAGGTTGCTGCCCAGCACTCGGATTCGTCTGGTCCACCGGGTCGGAACTCGGTGTATCCATGTCGGGCGGTGAAGGGTGCATATCCGGAAAGTTGAACGACGCCAACGAACTGTTGGGAAGATCCATCTCGGCTCGGAGCTCGCACTCAGACTTGTAACAACTCCAGTAAAGTCGCTGCTCTAGTTGACGCCGCCGTGCAGACCTTGAGCCGCTTGTTAGGGAGTTCGTTCTGCGGGCCTGGCACTGAAGGTAGACATGATACGATCTGGAAGCTGAATGGAACTGTGTCCATGCGAGCAATGGTCTCAGCGTGTACATCAGGTAAACACCTGCGAAGAAATGACATTGGGGTTCGAGTAATCCCTTTTGGAGCAAACCAAATCTTCGACGAGCAAGGTTGTAGTAGACCTCGCCGCTGTGAAGACTTTCAGCCTGAGACTTGAGCGAAGATGTGGCGCCAGGGCTAGGCGTCGAGGTGCCCTCTGGGAATGAGCGGGCTACAGAGCCAAGAGCGCACGCAAGCAGCTAAAGGTGCTCTGATCAGTAACTTTGCCAAGACTATTGGCTCTCCTGTTGTAAACATGCTCACCACCATGCAAGACCTCGAGTCCCACTTAAGTCCATCTTCTGCTACGCGCCGGGCATAGGACCACAAAGTGTCGGCTTCGAGAACTGGATTTTTGGTGTGCACGAGATCGAGGAACCTCTGTACCAACGGCAACACATCCTCTTCGTTGAACCCGTGTCTTCTGGATTTGTTTAATAGCGAGAGATTCGAGCTTTCCTTCTCATCCTCCTCGTCAGAGTCGCTATCTACAATCCCCGTTTCAAAAACGGCGTCAATGATGTAATTTGGGGGATAGCAGCATTCCAGCACAGGCCACTGAAGGACAGCCTCGCATGTCGTCTTTGCGGATGGGATCGACAAGTCGTCTCTTGAGATGGTTTGAACCTCGACAGGGGCCTCGTCTGTGGTTCTCCGAGGTTCTAATGGGACTGAATTACTGGGCGTCGAATTGGCAGCGTACGAGAGCTCTGCAACCAAGCCGCCATGTCCTTGTCCTGGAGACGATGGCAAGCGGTCCAACCTGGAGAGCACCTGATTCAATTTGTCGAGAATCGCAATACTAGCAGGATCGAACCTGGTGCATTGCATTAGCAATTTCGAGGCCAGCCAGGAAAAGTCGCTCGACTTGGGCAGATGAGGGCGAATTCCTTACGCAGAGACATCATCTGAGTCTTCGTAAACGCATACTGCGTTGTGAGAAGAGCAATTCCCGCAGGTTGGTCGAGCATTGTTGCACTTCACCTTTCTAGATCGACACAACCTACAAGCTGCAGTCGCTCTTTTTCGTGGATACGCGACATCAGCCCTTGACACCTCCCCACGGTCCCGTTTGCGAGGGCCTCGGGGCCTATTGGCAACTGTTGTTGCATCCGGAGGCGTGCCGGCCCCACGGGGAACACGAGCTGAATTGTCCGGAGATGCAGCATGCGCGGCTTGAGCCGCATGTGCGTCCCTTTGGGGGGAGGAAGTGTTGCCGTCGAGGGGTAATAATGACTGCATGGCTGGCATTCCGCTGTTGGTGTTCCTTGAAAGTTTGAAAGCCGTGTCGCAGCCGCGGAATCTCGGGGCTAAAGTGCGAGCAATAATACGAGTGGGGTAGCTTGGTCTCAGAAGCGGATAAAGCGACGGCTCGGGGAGTTCCGGGGCAAAGATGACCTCCGTCCCTACACAGTAGACAGTCAAGGCCGTTTCTACCTTTGGTCTAGTTTGGGTTTCAAGCACAAGAGCCCCACCTCTCTACAAATAGGCGTCTCATTGCTCGTCAGAAGCAGTCTGCTCGGCGGCGGTGGTTCGGGGGCCATCCCGAGAATGACGCCTCAACGATCTATTTGGGCTGATGTGCTGGGCAGATTCGGACTTTAATAGGGGTACGAAGAAGACTCGCTGAAGTACACCCTGCCACAATGCACTACAGAGGAAATTAAACCTGTTCTGGCCCCGCTTGGATCGACAATATTCGCAGTTTACGGCCTCAACGTCGCGGACAATGGACATTTTGACTTCTGGAACAGGCAGAGTGCCACTCAATGTCGGAATTATTGGTTGCGGTGAAGTCGCGCAAGTTGTTCACATCCCTACCCTCTCATACATGAGCAGCTGGTTCAGGATCACGTACTTGTGCGATTTCTCTGAAGCCGCCCTGAAGCACTGCGCAGCCAAGATACCAGGCACTGTCAAAACGACCCGTAATCCGGAGCTTCTTTGCACCTCGGAAGACGTCGATGTCATTTTGGTGGCAAGTTCAGACGAGTACCACGCAGAGCATGCCCTGGCTGCTCTGAAACATCACAAGCATGTGCTCGTTGAGAAATCGCTGGCTTTGACAAAGAAGGATATCGGTACGATTGCTGAGGCCGAACGCCATAGTCGAGGCTCTGTCATGGTGGGCTATATGAGACGGTACGCTGCACCCGTTGAAGACGCCATAAGGGAGGTTGGCGGGATGGACAAAGTTTTCTATGCCCCTGTCCGAGGTAAGTCCAAATGTCTATTCTCGCGAGATCTTGCTAAGATTTCCAAAGACATCATCGGGGCCAACTTGACTTTCGTGAACCAGTCCGGGACATTCCCGGAAAGGTTCACCGATTTTAGGTCGGAGCATTCGGCTAATAAAACAGCAAGACATGAACAAGCTGTCAATGGTGCACCTGCAGAGTGCGGAGATGTTCCAGTCACAAAAGAATCGTCTCTGGCGTGGCGAGTGCTTTGTGGGCTCGGATCGCATGACCTCTCGTTAACGCGGGAAGTATTGGGAATGCCAACCAGCGTTAAGGGCTCTTCTCTTGGCTATCCCTTTTGGAAGTGAGTCGACCAGTGAAGGCCGGCATGATGTCCACCGCCGAATCACTTATAAACCACGCTTTAGTGACCTCTTCAAGTATCCTGGCTTCACTGTCTCTTATGAGTCTGGCATCGACAATAACCCTCGCTTTGACGCACATCTCGAGGTTTATAGTAACACCAAGTCGGTCCGCCTATAGTACGACACTCCATATGTCAAGGGGCTGCCGGTCACCATGCACATTGCGGAGAACTACAATGGAACGTATAAGGAAGCTACAATTCGCAAGACGTACGAGGATCCCTACACCCATGAGCTCAAGGAGTGGTGGAATTCTGTTACTCAAGGGATGGGGCCCAAGACGACCACCCGAGATGCGGCACAAGATCTCGAAATTTTCGGAATGGCGATGAAGCATCATTACGGGTGACTACCATGTATTCAGGTCTGAAGAGGTTCCTCTATTTGAAGTTTGTCTACATAAAGCCTTTAACTCCTAGTCTTGTTCTTTCGCTCTCTTGTTAAGTACCCAGATGGCCCGGGCTCACTCGTTAAACGCTTGCAGTGATGATAGGGGACCCGAAGGTGCGATGCTAATGACTCGTCATTTTTTACAAGACATCACTTCACCATTCGAATGCCTCGATGGGGATCCTAAAGATTCTACTGTAATTTGATCCGATAGAATACGACTTTGGGTTCCTATTTTCTTCATCACCACAAGCCGCAGCACAACCAACTACCTCCTTGCATCACTTTCCCCACTTTAATATGAAATGGAGGCCTTAAAAGAGAGATGACGAAGCCAGGGGCTTGAGAACGCCTCAATCTAGAGTCCTTGTCATAAGCGCGTGTCTGATACAGGATTCATATACTCAGACTTACAATGGACTTTGCGTGTTGAGACTGCCGCGCTTCTGTAAGCGAGCTTAGCAGCTGTTCTGATAGTAGCTGCAGCCGCCAACGCCGCAAGTCCAGCAGACACGGGAACCCCCGGCGCATTGACCGCAGGCTCGCTTCTGAAGAGCGTCACGCTCAGAGATGCCACGGGCGGCGTTGGCAGCGGCGTCAGCCTCGATGGCAGGGGCGGCCATGGCGCCAACGGCTAGGGCAGTGAAGATGATGGTGAAGAACTTCATTTTCGAGAGATGTTAAGGATTGCGAGCTTGGAATGATTGGCTTATTGAAGTGAGAAAAGGCTGATGATGGGGCGATGATCGAAAGCACAAAGAGCATCGTGGTTGGGCTAGTATATATATATGTGTGTTTGATCACTCTCAGAAACTATCATTCTACGCGTAGCTTCACCAACGTTGATAGACCCAATGATCGCAACATGCGCCAGGCAAAACAACCACCATGTTGTCTTGGACGGTTGAGGGACCAGTTGGGGTGGACGATGAGGCACTGGGACTTTTGCTACAGGTTTATTGGAACTTTTGTCCGCGCATAACCAACCTGTGACAAGCTCAATCTGCAAGTCCCTACATGCCCTAACCTGAATCGTTCTAACCTTCCATTAATTCTTCACATAATCGGATCTTAGGATCCGGGGCCCCGCACCTCGAACCAATACGATAACCCCTACTCCGGCGCTGTTGATCTTGCAACATGCAAGATCAGCTGCGCTGCACAAATACATTGCATGACCTGGCATCACGGGCCGCTTCGCAACATGGTTGATAACTCCTCTTCTGGGTCTATTGGCGAGTTATCCACCCGTCAATATTCAGTCGTGGCGGTCTGCCTAGCGCACAGCGAGACTGGAGGCGCTTAACAGGAGAAGACGCTCTTTACTGGTTAGGCGCATTCGCCTATGAACCTAATTAGCATGAAAGATCATTTCCTACATGATTTTGCAAAAGCCTGCGCCTGATGCAGAATCCTCTGCATGTTATCGGTGCATGTAGGTCGTTCAATGAACGGACTTCAGGGCCGCGTGGTCCTAGCTATGTTGGCTATCAACCGGCAAAGGCGCTTTTGAAACACTAGATGGCCGCTAAGCCGTCGTTTACTAGATGTGATGCGTAAATTTCAACATCTGAAGAACTGGAAGTTTCTGACTGAGAGCTTGCATTGCATACCTATATGAAACGGGAGTTCAGTCTTCCGTATCATAGTGGTGCCCTCTCGCTTTGCCCCTTTGACGCTGCTATGGAGTCGCGGGAAAGGGTTTCAATCCTTCTAGGTGCGGCCTCGCCATCTCGGTCCAAGATGCCAGAGGTCGTGGTGTTCAAAGTCAAAGTTGGCAATACAATTAATAACCACGAGATGCCTAAGCGCAAAGCATTGAAGCCGGAAGTCTTCCAACCCCGCTCTGGGCTCGAATGCAAGAGGCGAGGGACTCCATTGTTGACGTTGATCTCTTGCATGATCAACGGTGGTTTCCATCAAAATGATGCTCAAGATACACGCAGGCTCTGAAACTATCTTTCTCACAAAGCAAGCGAGACTCAAACATTATCGAAACATACCGCATGTAGATCAGCTGTGGCAAACAAGAAAGAAGACCCGTAGTTAACAAGGCTGAGGCATCGACTAGTCGGTATAGCCTATGCCAACCTGCCCTAGCCTTGAGTCTTCTCCTTTGGGGCATTTCAACATTGTGTTATGCTAACCCGTACTTCTCGCATCTTCTCCAGTAATCTGATCCTGGAAAGAGGCCTTCTTTCGTTAGTAAATCTTCTGTCATCAATTGTATTCTACTCACCACACCTACTACCCGTGCAATGCTCAAACGGATGATGCATGGTGCTCGGTTGCTGACCGCTTCCTCTCCCTCCGAGCGTTTGATAGCCAAACTACACCTTTCTGGGAGAAAACAGCAACAAATAGACATTGAGAAGTTATTGGAATGTCTTTCAGGCCACCAGCCAGTCCGTCATTGGCGAAGTTGATGCACATGTGGGTTACTGCCATGGTGAGTATGGCATTCTGCAGATTGGGGCCGAGCTTATCAAAGTGGGCGCGTTGCGACGCGACAGCAAGGATGGCAGTGAATATGGCGACTCCTAGGAGGAAATACGGCGTTGTCGGGAATAGAAATGGGCCGTAGAAGCGGCGGAGGATGGCAGTCGTCCTGCCGTCCTCTGGACGCGATGAGCAGTAGTCAGTGGTGAAACGCGACTTTCTGGATGCAACCGGATGAGCTCTGTCACTGACCATCGTCATCTCTTTCCTTGTATGAACCGATCGGGGGATACGCCAGGAATAGGAGAACGACAATCATCAGGTTTGTTAACCCTGTGCGTATACCTTTTCTCCAGTTTGCCAGTCTTGTCCCTTGGCTCCCCTGACCCCCTCGATTGGGCGCTGAAAGGGTCCCAGAAGTGAACGAAACGTGCTGGATCAGCGACTCTCGTTCATCCGGGTGGATAGGAGATGCTGTCGTCGCGTGCATTTGGAAAGGCTAGACAGGTGATGTGGTTACGTTTGTTGGGTTCAATTCACCCAGGCTGTTGCGCTCGGTGGCGGGGTAAATATGTTGGAGCTGGCAAAAGAGAGTGCGGCTCTCGTCAGTGGCCAGCTGAAGATCGAACTTCAAATTGTGCGTCGCTTGCCACTGTCAGCTGGGATGCCGAAGTCGCAAGAAGCGCTTCTCATCCTATGTCTCCTTTACTTTCATGGGGTCCCCAAGCTGATTTACAAGACCAAGATCTCCAGCAGAAATTGAGACACCTCCGAATTCAGGGGAAAACGTGATAATGCACCCCCGCCCTGGCAACTGGGTAGATCTCTCTTCTTCTAGTGGAACGGATCGCCGTGGCGTAGCGTTCAAGTCAACCCAAAGTAAGCACCTAGTCCACAACAAGGCATCCTAATAAGGTAGGGGGCACCTGGGTAGGCCCAACATCGGTCGGGTTTTAGCGCAGACCACCGGCATGCGATGCTGAGGCCTTCGGCTGGGATACGAAACGCTCGCGACACCCGCATCATTGACATTTTGTAGGCTGTCTTGGACCAACAGGCACCTCGATCTTGGAACACTTCAAACCAATCGCTTAAAACCAACACGGTTACACGACCCGTCTTCTGATGCAGTGAAGTCGCGGCACCAGAAGTCTGGGTGCTCGACTCACTGTCCACCAAGATGAGCCTCTGATCGGCGCAAAATCATATTTGAGGTGCTAGAACATGACAACCCTGCATTTAATGCTCGCTCAGCGTTATCCTCTTCCTGCCGCTCTCTGACTTGGCATAACACGTACAACCCTACACCAGTGTTGCCAAAAGGTTTCGGGTCATGGCCAGACGTCGCCGTCTTTTGGGCGTATTGTCACACTGGTGTTGCTGCCGCTTGGGGACTGAGAGCTGTCGCGGCGGCCCCTCCACCTGAAGGCAGTACGTTTGCTGGCGTCGGGGTTTGAGTGCCCATCTTGGCTTGCGGCTGGCTTGGCTCTTCAAGCTGCACAACTGATGGAGCCGTACCTAAAAGTGCAGAGCCCGAGCCTTTCGTCGCAACATTCGGCTGGCAGGAACCCTTGCCAATAGACGCTGCTTGTGGCGTGGCCGATGACATCGACAGTACAGTCGCTGGTGGCTGCGTTGTCGGCAGCACCGGTTGCTTCGTCTTGTTCTTCCTGGAGCTCCCACCGGGCCTGTGACGCCATAGAGTCTTCACGACTTTACCCACGCCTTGACTTACTCGTATCACCAAAACAAAGGACAGGGTTCGCTGCCGCCATGGCCGGTTGGAGTGGCTATGCCAGTACCATGTCTCAAAAGTCAACAACATCAAAGCAACGGTGCTGGCGAGATAGTACCACAGATATACGGACACAACAGGCGATGCCGCCGCTAAAGGTTGACTGGTAGGCCTGGTAGTGGCTGCAGCGGCAGATTCGGTTGTACTTGGGATAGGTCGAGGTTCGTCCGAAGAGTCACTGGGCATGGCTGGCTGGTTTAACAGGTTCCGCCAAGCTGCCTTGAAGTCGAAAACGGGCATGGCAAAGATGGACTGGAAAGCATACCGCGCAGACGAATCAGCGGTTAAGTCTTCGCAAGTTTAGGGACGATATCCTGAACTACACGTACCGCCATCGTAGATATTGGCAAGTATAACATTGCAGCAAACGCAATGATAGTGCTGGCCTGGGTTTGCAAGGATGCTTGCTTGGCTTGACTGGAATTGGATCTCGCATGGCGCCTGGCGAGGTCATTTTGAAACTATACAGCAGCATCAGCGGGTGGATGGTACCTTAGGGCTGCTCTCATGTTCGCTCAGAACGCTTTGACCCTAGATATCGGCCTCGATAGGTATTTTGAGCACTCACTCCCTCCGCTGTTAGGGCAGCTTCGCTGACATTGACTCGGCACGAAGCAATCAGATCCTGGAAGTCTAAGCCGATTTCCTGGAAACGTTCCGTGAAGCGGCGAGTATCATGTAGTCGGTTCTTGTTGCTTTCTTCGTCCTCCATCAAGAGTGCCTTGGCGTGGCTTGTCCACCTTTCTAACTGTCGAGATGCGGACACGAGATCTTCCCCGATAAGGTTGCTATCATTTTGCACCTTTCCCAGATCGCTCGCCCACTTCAAAGAATTCTCCACCGCGAGATCGTCCGGCATCTTGCTGAGCTTTTCGATGTCATCCTTAAGTTCTTCCAGCACCCATATTGCTCTGTTATTCAGCTTCTCAGACAAGTCCCGCAATCGGCGTCGCTGAAGTTCGGCGAAAATACTCGGTAGGAGGAGGGGATGATCCCATGCCGTCTCGCAGCTTTTCAGCATAGCGTTCGCTCTAGTCATGTCATCGTCTGTGCAGCCCAGAATGATGCCACAAGATGAACTTTTGAGTTGAAAGAATGTTGACGTAAACGCAAGGTTTCCCGTGTAGTTTTCCATTCCAGATTGGAAAAATGCCGTGTAGACCACTTCGGCATCTGAAGCGTTCGTGGTCTTGTCGGCTAAGGAAAACACCAAGGTGAGTTAGACGAAACAAGAGGCACGGCTTTGGGATTAGTCTCACATGTGGTGCTGTTCTTAGTAGAGGATGTCTTGGAAGTTGTCGTCCCGGCACTGGATTCTGACAACGGGGGGGACGAGCTCGAGACAAAGTGTTGATGCAGCTCCGCGGCTGACATGTACGTGCTACCTCTCTCCAACACGCGGACAATGTGTTTGTGGAGCCTTAAGTCCTCTACAGCAGACTTGAAATGGCTCTCTTCGAGAGGCACATGCAAAAGCCTCGCGGGAGCACCGCCCTGGCCTCCTTTCGGCCTGCCACAGAGCCTGAGCTGCCATCAGAGATGCCCTTGATACAGTTTCACCTTGATAAAAGGTCTAACAACTTACAGGAGGGTAAAGCCTCTTCTCTCCCAAGCCTTGTCGTCTTCCTCCTGATTTTGTGCTGCATTCCCGCCCTGGGCCAGTGAAATATTAATAAGTGCAGAACTGACAACATACATCCCAGCAACAGCTGAACTACCTACCACTGATGCTTGCGGGACAGCTGGTGCATTCCCTAGAGTCTGGGAACTTGGTGGGCCCTTGAATGTATGTCAGCCCCTCTTTGCTCGACGCGACCAAGATCGACTGCAATTCACGGGCGCACGGCTCACCTCTTTCGTCATTTGCTCGACTTTCAGGCATTTGCTAACATTATCAGCGAACTGAGCTCCAGGCCTAAACTTGGCAAGCTCAGTCTGGTTCTCTTCCAGATACAAGTACCTGTTCACACGGGCGACCCACTCCATGGTAACTTGGGGCATAGTGAAAGGTGAAGGTTTGAGGATTGCACTGCCTCCGCGCTCTTCGACCCAGTAGCAGTAGCAACCGATCATAAATCAACTTCCCGACCAGGCTGCGAAGCAAAGCTGCCGAGCTGAGGGGAGCCGTACATGGTGGCGCATCATGTTATGAGGGATTATGATGCCTGTAACAGGCCACATGAATCTGAGGGGAAGCCTCCTCCAATAACGTTCGCCAACAAGCGGCCAATCTTCTTGCTGTGCGACCGCCCGTCCCCCTCGGCTTAACGGGGGTCGGAGCATGCTTATAAGAAGGCTTACATGGATTCTTTGCGGGTCGAGCTGGTGAAACCGCTGTGTCGCTCTGCCGTGGAGAGACTATTATTTGCAGCTTGTGGGATTACGGATAGATGAATGGGGCGGATTTTGAGTCAAACCTGTCAGTCACGAGTATCTTCGTTCAGTACCTATGACCAGGCTTCCTACACCTCAACCACATTGCGGTCATAGCCATCACGCCACCGGCTTTGTGCTCATAAAATGGTCAGCATTATCATTCATGCATCATACTCCGATGAACGTTTGATCCAGGAATTCTTGAACGAACTATTCGCATCGGATGTCTCCATCATGGTGAGCATGTGCGGCCACTGTTTCATTTCCAGCATCGGTCTGACCAGCGATGGCTACAACTAGCGGAAACGGGGTAGATTCATCATTAATGCGCCTCGGGCTTTGACTGAAGTGAGTTGAGCCGCGAGTGCTGGACAAAATGACCTCCCACCCCTCGTATCTTCCCGCTGATCCTAACAACAGAGTCAAATTTCACGTCTCCAGCGGACCGTCAGAGTGGAGCACTTCGACCAGGGAGGATAGAAAATGCGGGGAACCGGGCTGCAATCATGTATAAACAGAGGGTCTTGTCGACGAATCTTGAGTCCATGGCCGAAGGCCCTGAAGTTGTATTGTCCTCCCCGGCTGACTTTTCTCCCTCGATGTGGAGAACATAACTCTCATATTCAGTCTCCCTTTGTGTAGTCTTGAACGCTGAATAGCTAAGAATGTTGGGATTGGCAAAGATTTTGTTCGATCTGGCAGCGATCAGACATGACCTTCAGCTTAGCGGAAACGTCTTCCGCCGAATCTCTCTCAGCGGCATCCACGCAAAGCATATTGATCATGACAAGCCTAAGGAGTTCTTCAAGGAACGGCGAGTAGCCGTCACGGCCCATCAAGTCATCTACCCATCGCCGGACCGCCGGCTTGACCTCGATACGTCCATCGCGGTGCCGAATGAAGAACGCATCAACTATGACGCCTCCATCCGGCTCGGCTTCCAGTCGTGCTTGAGAAAAGTCTTCCTCCACCGCGTCCCAACCAAGTAACTGCCAGGTGGCGAACTCAAGAAACATGCAGCCCAATGACCAGATATCTGCGGCGCTCGATATGTCAGAATGTGGTGTGTCGGCCTCTGGTGAGCGGTATGTTTGTGCGCCCATCTGCAGTTCTTTGTCTCCTGGCTTCCTGGGTAGACCAATGTGAGCGTAGCCGAAATCAGCTATCACCAACCTTGAGTATGAGAGACAGTCTGTGTCGCCCTCGGAAAACCAGAGTATGTTTTTCGAACTTATGTCCCCGTGAATGCTCAACACAGTGTCATCCTGTGTTTCCTGCCCCATTCCATGAAGATTTGCCAGCGCTTGAGTAAGGCTGTAAAGTTCCCTTGCCATCCAAGTTGTAGTATCAGGGCGCTGTCGCAGACCCGATTTCATCCGCCACAGGAAGTCAAGATCACCATCTGCGCAGGGGAAAAGAAGGAATCTGCCGATCGATGCAACTTCAAATGTCATCAAAAGGGGTATAATGTGTTTGTCTCGAATACGTGCAATGCATCTGAGCGCCGCAGCCTCTTGGTTAAAGCGAGTAAGGTCAAAGGCTGGAATCTGCTTCAAAGCAAAGGTATTCATGTGCTCACTCTCCTGCCCTTGTTAGACATGATCAGATTACAAGGTCAATATGAACCTCACCGAGTATTTGTGGAGCAAGCGATTGTGGGAGGGGTGCAACCTGATGCGAATGACGGTCGTTGAGGTTGATAGCACCTGGGTCGTTTTTGGATCCCCGTACACTTGTTCAGGAAAAACTGGGCCAGACTCGGTTATGGGGAAAATATGTTGCGGCGTAAAGACGTAATGAGGGATATTTGGGCTGGCAACTTCAAAGACGGGCGACAGCACCGTCCACTGTTTCTGCAACAGTGCCTCTCGCGCCCTAGAACTCCAGCGATCAAGAAATCCTAACGAGACTTGGTTGTCTTGCCAGTCCGATACCGCAAGATTATGGACGGAAAAGGGAGTATCCTTGTCGAGACCGCCAGCCAAAGCAGCCATCTCAGATCGCGTCAGTATTGGCAAACAGGAATCATTCACATCTGCCTCGACAAACTGGGGAATCCTGTCGCCAAGATCAACAAGAACTAGAATCGCAAAGACTTTACGATATGAAGAATTGAGGCGATTGAATTTTCCGTTACAGATGACAGCAGCTAGGCGGCTCACTTCGTCTGTAGAGTGGCCAGGTGTTCGTTTCAGGTGGCGCATCAGCTCCGATTTGACTATTGCGTCGCTGAAAATATCGGGCTTTTCGAGTGTGCCATGTGGAATAAACTGTTTTATAGTGTTTGAAGAGCATTTGATGGTTGTGCTCTCGAGTTTGGCCTTCAGCGACATGCTCTGCGGTCTTGCGCGTGGCCGGTGTTGCTAGGAAGGTTTGACGAGGTTCGATTCCTCACCGAAGTCCTGTTGCCCGATGATATAAGTGAGGTACTTGTGATGCAGCTCTTCGCTGAAGATAAAGAGGCTGTTCCGGAGGGTTAGTACTGGTACGCCCTGCTAGCTAGATCAGGTGTCATGGATACGAACATGCTTGGGGCACGGATAAACCATAACCCGTTCCGCACAGTTTGAGCTCTACCCAGGTGCTGTCGCCGATGTTGTCCAAAATCACTGTACGTCATCAATGGGGAAGTAAAAGTGCCGCAAATCAAGAAACCCATTGTCGTTAAGCGCAGTCAATTCGAAGCTACTCATCTTGAAGGAGCGGGATGACAGGATCTATATCGGAAAAACCACGAGAAAATGGACGTAAGACACGGCTGAGTACTCGCCGAGACGGGTGGCAGTAGGACAGCCAATACAACTGCACTGGCCACACGATATGCCGTACATCAGCGATGTAGGTCAGCCTTTACTGGACCAATCGCAGTCATTCATCGTTGACACGCCACAAGCAGCAAGCTCGTCGGTGAAGGACAACAAAATATCGGGCGGCATTCTGCTCAGCGAAATAGAAGTGGAAGAAAACTCTGATTGGAATGTGTCCCTCATGATTGAAATTCAGCGCTCTAGCTATGAGCTACATGTACAACCGATCAGCAAGTGCCTCACTATATGGGGAAACAAAGAACAAATGGTCGTCGAGTACTCAACGCCCTCATCATCCAAACCGTTAGCATGGGAACATCTCAGGAAGTGACATGTCATTGCAATGCTTGCTGGGAGAACCCGGCAAGCATCGCCTACCCAACCGGCCACCCCCACAGGTGGCATGTCGCAAGATTGTGATGAAGATAGCTTGTCTGCATTAGTGCCGCCTGAATTGGAACCACGGCCGAGCGTGCCGTCACCGGCCCAGTTCCGGGGTCTAGGGGTCGAACTTGCGACCGGCGTTCGCTGCCCCTGGGGCCTGCAGTTCGTTTCTTGGCTTTTCAATCCTTCCAGGACAATTCAGGCGGCTGCATGTTCACCGTCACAGCCGTACCAAGCCTGAGACGACATCAAAATTGACCGGCATATGTGCAGGGTTGGCAGCAAAGCTGGCTTCATTTATGCCGTCAAGAACCATTTGCCCACTTGTCGCGCCATCAGCGACGGATTTGTAGCTGTCATGTGAATTGCATCGAGCATTGATTGTCCTTAATCTGAGGAGACTTTCTCTCGTCTACCAGTTCGACAAACGACCCCCAGAAAATCGACTCTTCGCTCGGCATGATCTTTTGTCCTTCTTAGTACGCGCAGTACCCTCGCAGCAATGTCAGCACCAGGTCCGCCGTCAGGGCCTTCCCAGGTACCAATCGATCCAGCAAGAGCGGCGGAGAGCAACACGGCTCGTATTGTCAGCATTGTCACAGTATTTCATGTCATTGCTTTGACGACGATCGCATTACGCATCTACGCACGAGTCTGGGTCATTCGGAATCCTGGAGCAGATGACTGGGTTATGCTTCTCTGTGCTGTAAGTAGTTTCGCTCAGACGTGGAGTCCACAGTTGAACTTGCTGTCTGACTCGCGAGTTGAAGGCCTGCGCTATGGGAGGCTGGAGCATCTTCATCATACAGGCACATTACGGACTCGGAAAACACCAGGATACAATCGAAACGCCCGACTTCAAGATTTTCCAGCATGCTGGTTTCTGGCAATCCATCATCTCGGCCGCCGGGGCGCTGATGTGGCTCAAGATATCCATTGCCCTGAACCTATTACGACTCAGTCAGAACAAGTGGTATACTTGGTCTCTGTGGGCCACGATCGGTGGGTACTCGTCAACTCCAATCCTAGGTTTCGTTAACTAATCGTTCTGGGTGACAGGTTTGACGGCTATATATTGCATTGGAGGCATGTTTCCCTTCTTCCTACGATGCCGACCAATGGCAGGCTTCTGGGACAAGAGCCTCAAACCCGACTGCTACGATATCCAACTATTCATCACCTTTGGAATCATAAATACTGGTCAGTACGCATTGAAGTCGGCGCAGAGAGTGGACATAGGAACTGGCCTGACTTTTTTGTAGCATTCAACATCTTCACTGATGTGGTATTGGCGACACTTCCCATCCCCATTATCTGGAACCTTCAGATGAAACGACGAGTCCGTCTCTCCGTCATTGTCATTCTCAGTCTAGGCTACTTGTGAGTTTCGAAGGGGGGTTCGCATGGCCATAACGACCTTTGCTAATGACATCAGTGCGGTTGCAATGGGAATCGTGAAGGCCATTTATCAAATCGCCTACGGGTCTAATCCCGACAAGACGTTCGAGCAAAGTGTTCAATTCTGGGGATTGTAAGGTGCCCGATATCCAGCCTTCTGGTTCCCGTTTCTGACTCCTACCTAGCCTTCAGCTCCAATTGGGCATTATCGCGGCTTGTGCACCAGCCCTCAAACCACTCGTCAGCCGCTTTCTCAAGCTCTCCACGGCTGGGGACCACCGGTATCCCTCGGGCCGCTCCCAGCCCCCGGGGAGCATCGGTTTGCAGACGATAGGCGGTTCAGGGCCCGCGCGACGCCACACAATGAAACCCAGCTTCGAATCAGACGAGAGGGTCAGTGGGGGTAGCGACGGCGGCAGTCTGGGCGGCGCGGGCTCCAAGGGGCAGAACGAGATCTCTGTCCAGGGAGCATTCTACAAGCATGGCGAAGGGGGCAGCGAAGAGAGGATCCTGGAGGATCAATCGGGGCGTATGGGGCCGCAGCGGGTAAAAGGGATTATGCGGACCACCGAGGTGATCGTCCAGTAATCAAGTCTTTCTGCTCGTCGAGCAAACCCTGGTCGCCCAAGGCCAGGGGTGGGGATGGGGAGAGTGATGTGACACAGGGAGGTCTTGGTGCGCGGGATGTGGACTGGCAACTGTCTTGAGGCGTTTTTTTTTCGCTCTCGCGTTATACTCCGCTGACTAAAAACCGTGATGAATATGTTGAAGGCCGAGGGCAGGCCTGACAAGAGTTGTGGTAGTCAATGCATGAACAACTTTGGTCGATACGACATGTCCACGGCCTCTTTTCTGTTTGGAGGCTCTTGGAACCTCGATTCGGGATGTTTCCATAAGCATTGCTACGAGCCGGGCCAATGTCCTTGTCCAACCCAAGAAACGCATGTCAGTCGACTTTGTCAGGATAAATATGGGCTGTGTTGGTGGTGGCGTGCGTCCACGGCGGTCCCCGCCTCTTGCGAGTATTGCAGGATCAAGACTCTGTAGCGCAAGCAATGTAATCAAATGGTCAAAAGCCCCGCAACCACCACTTTTGAAGCTAGTAGGCTCGGCACCGGGCCGCGGTGATTCGATCTGCAAGAATAGTCAGGGGTCGGGGAAAACGGCGCGACAAGGTGGCGACGGACCCTAGCATCGACCTGTGCCAAGGGGGAAGCAACCTGACCAGGGCTCTCGAAGCCGAAGGCTCTGAGATTTTCTACCGAGTTGGGGAGAATGGGGCCATTGAAGAATTGTTTATCGATGGAGAACAGACAGTACACAAGGGGGACATTTTGTTCCGCAGTACGCTGGGTCGCATGACTTCCCCTTCCGGACATGATTCCCGGCGGCGGATTTGATAAATGAGGAAGACGGGGTTCCGAGCACCGTGGCATGGCAGGATGTTACGCGCAGTAGCTTGCATGCTGGTGTGTTGATTGATTCTACCACATATGAGGAGCTCAGTGGCACATGGTACATGTACAATTAATCTATCTCATCTAGGTCTATGAGCAAGCTGTCCTATCACTCGAGGCTGGCAAGCAGCTTGGGAAGCAGGTACTGGTTGTTGTACTCCCAAAGAATGGTCGTGAACTGCGCAGACCAGGCACCACCTGTGTAGAAAGTGGATGAACGGCCTTGTAGAGCGTACTTCCTGGTGATGAATCCGTCCCGCAGCGTATCAGATGCGACATGGAGGTGCATGGCGCCGTGGTCAGACCACGCCGCGAGCTGCAGGGTCTGGTTACCGATTGCTGGGATGGTCTCGGCCTCGGCAAGGGTCCGGAAGGCGCGCTTGACCATGCGCTGGGCCTCACAGCTGTCGGTCGAGGCTTCGCCGGTGACCAGGACGCGGAAGTTTTCGCCGCCCATGTAGTCAAAGCGACCAACAAAGGGATTGGCAGGCAGCTCGAGCCAGTGGTTGGGAACTGCGGCTGCAGGCGTGTTGGTCAGAGAGCCGCTGACGGGAAGTGATGAGTGCTTCGCGATGCCGACGTAGACAGTTGACCACTCCCATTCAGAGAAGACGCCGCGCTCCTCATTGTCGAGTTCAATGCCGCGGAGGTTGGCGATAGTCGGCTCGAAGGAAATAAGCAGACGCTTGGCACGGATCACTGTGTCGCGCGACGAGCCACGGGTTCGCACACGCAATGTTACGCCGTCATCGGTGCGTTGGGACTCGACAACGGTGCTCGAGTACAGTACATCATCGCCCAGAAGCGCAGCAATGTTGTCATAGAGCTCCTGGTTCCGGCGAGAGGTAGGAACCCATGAGCCCGCAAGGCCGACAAAGCTTCGGGCGATCGGAGCACCAAAAGCCTGCATCACATACAACGTGGAGATGTCTGCCATGTCACCCATACCAAGCCCAGTGACTTGGAATATGCGAGGTACAGCGGCCTCGAGGCCGTACTTGGTGACGAAGGCAGAAAAGGGAAGTACCAGGTCTTCGGGGACATTGCCAGCTGTGGGGAAGTTCGCATATGACGGTAAGATCATGTGCTCGTACTTTTCGCAGACCTCAAGGTACTTTCGGAGAGCCGCAGTCGTATCGGCAGCGGCAGGAAGGACGTATCCGCCTTGGGACTCGCCAGAGTTGAAGTCGGCATAGGTGGTTGTGAGAGGAACGCGAGTAGGAGGACTCAACGAGACGTTGAAGCGAGCGAAGAAGTCTTCCGCGCCGGGATACTCCGTATAGGAGTTCACGCCAAAGTCGTATGGCACCTCGGTGTCCGGGTCGATGTAGGTCGCAACATGTCCTCCCTGAAGAGAGACCAGTTAGCCCAATTATTGACGAAGATAATTCAAAATACGGCAAATCACCAATTGGGCCTTCTTTTCGACAAGAATGACACTTTTCCCGTAGTCTTCACGTAGTCTGACGGCAGCATGCGCGCCGGACGCGCCTCCTCCCAGGACGACAACATCTCTTTCGATGACATTGTCTGGTAGAGCTGCGGCAGAGACGAGTGTCACACTGGCAAACAGACTGCACAGCGTGGTGGACAAGGACGGGAACAAAGACATGCTGGGCAATGAGTGAACCAGCACCAGTCGACCAAAGGAATAACGAGAGTGGACAGGCTGGACTAGAAGCTGCCTTCCTGGCATCGCCCATAGCCGATTTTGTCGCAGGCTATGGTGCCTTTTATTCAGCCGTCTAAGGATTCCAGGGACCAGGGAGCAATCCTCAGGTGAGATACCATGCAGCAGGTGGTATGCTGGGCTACTGCACCCATTTCGTCCGACTCCAAGACGACGGGGCATTAGCGCCAACCCCTCGTGCAGGAGAAAAGTGGTCTGCTGCTGGATGGAGACAGGGGTTCGCTGCCAGGATGTCATACGAATCCTTCGCATACGCTTGGCGGCACGCGTCTAGCGATGAATGAAATACGTTGACGGTCTTGTCGACGCCACCGATATTCGAAAGCTCGGCAGTTCGGATGAAGGGTGACTAACGTGCCCATTCTGCCTCGTGGGTGCTTGGAGTCAACCGCTCAACCCCCGTGAGCAAATCTGGCAAGCGTGGTCAGAACTGCAGGATGCCGCATGCATGCTTGACCTCCATCCTGTTCCTCGTACATCAATGCCCTGTCAACCACATCGGTATGATGCGTTTGATCTGCCATGGTGAGGCCCAATCTGTTCGGCTGTAAGATACGCGTCCGATCTTGCCCTGTCCAATCCGACATGAACGACAGCAGCCACGTCGGTTGATGAACAGTTGTGGCGGTACAAGAGTCTGGGTGGCAGAATGAATCAGGCTGCTCCGTTCATACAAACACTTGCTAATACGCGTTACACAGTGGCAAAGTGGTCGTGGTAGGTGGCCGCTTACTTCATACTTTGGACTCGATGCGCACGCTTGTTCAGCGTACGATCATTTCGACATTCATGTTGGAGCCGACACGTCGAGAAGGACAAGAAATGTATCGACTTTGTCGGGCGTTACGTGCGCCGTCAGGTGATGAGACCATGATTGTAGAGATCCTCCTTGCGATCGGTGTCTGCGATCCACATGCGTTGTATCGAATGAATTTGGTAGCCCTTCGTCAAATCGATACCCATGATCGTTCCAAAACGTCGCCGTGCAGCGAAGCCTCAGGTCACGTACATCGGGATCTCGTGGCGCTCCTTCAAAAGCCTGCGAATAAATTAGCAATGTCGCTATGAACAGCATGTAAATCATCGTGCTGCGATGCCTGGTTGCCCTGTTGCCAGTGCTGCCTCCAAGCTGACATGGTTATATATCGCTTAGGTAAACCACAGTATAATCTGGATCGAGCGGCCCTGTCAGGTTCCCGAGGCAGCTGCGCCATTGGGAGCGAGATATTACAACACTTGAAGTATCGATTGTGATGGGACGTTTTGCGACATCCTTTTTCGGGCCATGCTTTGGACTCGTAAGGTCATTCAAGCGCCCAGCACGGGATACAAGGATTTGCTGCGCTTACGGGAGAGGTCAATCTGCCCCAAAGGTGGCCTTGAGGTTGTTTTTGGATGGTTATAGGACTCAAAAGCCGTCTTGCGACCATGAGGGAATACAAGTTGCTTATATTGGCGCTGGCTATGCTCAAATAAACGGAAAGAGGTAGCGGAGAGAGCAGATTAAGGGCATACGCGGTCCCCGCCACAGATGCGTGCTAGCCTTGGCATCAAGAGACATGACGGCCATGATGGACGAGGAGCAAAGTTTAAGCACTGTATCCGGGAGGTTATCTACAGAAGAAAAGAAGGAAACAGTTGACGACACCACGTAGTTGGGACTAAATCATGATAAGGAATGATAATGTGATTTACAGCAGGGGAAATGATGGGAACGGTGGGCCTACGTCTATTCGCATGGACTCCCGCCGTCTAATGACTCGTGATGCCCCTACAGTCATCACTCGTCACATGCCAAAAGGGCGAGGGTCTGTGATGTTCATGCTCAGACAATAGAGCAGTCTACGTTGAGACGTTACGCTCGTGACCCTTCTTCTCAACCTCTCGTCAGCATTCTGCTGGAACATCGAATCATTGAGGGGGGGAATATTCTTTTCAAATTCCAAGCTCGAAACAGGACATGTCTCGTCGTGGGTGGCCATCCTGTGTCGATGCTCAGCTGGGTTCAGCTCGGGCCAGTCCAGCAGGGCACATTTTGCGACTTGTCTTGACAACAGGCCGCTGTTGGAAGATTCGCTGCACCAGACTGTCAAATGTCAGTTCCATTCACGTGGCATTCGCGAGACGCCATTTCTAGGCAAGGGATGACAGAAGGCCTCGCAGGTCCTTTCAGTTCGACGCCAACATTATCCCTGGCTGATTCTGGTCGAGGCATAACCTGAACTACTTACCATTTGCAATACGATTACTCTACGTGTTGCTCAGCTCGTGTCACTTCAAATATTGTGGCGCCATGCTTCCTACCAACATGATCATAGCTTCAGCAGCTCACCAGTCATCGGGTTCCCGGGGGCGCAGCGTGCCTGGCCAGGCCCCGTCAACCTTGTTTGCACATGGGATGGACGCCTCCGATTGATTTAAGCTTAATCGTTGGGCAACGACCGTCCAACATACGAGCCCATTTGTGTCTTGTTCAGCGTTGCTTGGAACAGCCACGGCCTGTTTCGGCTGCTCCATTTCCCTCAAGTCTAGGGTCCAAGTCGTTTTTGAGCCTAGCTCTCCGCCGGCGTGACCTCAGCCGCAGTCTAGATGCACAGCTTCCAGCAGAATGGTTCAGCTTCGCCCAAGCGCGACGACTGCTCATTCGACGCCACCTCGCCTAGTATTTGACCTGACCGATTTTGACATGCGCGCAGGTGACGATGGCGTCGCGGGTCAATGGCTTTCCGGAGGCTGCGAACTAAGCTCTATCTCAGTGTCAAAGACCATCATCACAGGCCTCCCAGAGGGAGATTACTAAGTCGCAAATGCTTGCTATAAGTGAGTCTGAACGCCCCTATGAAAATGTATTGGTAGCCTATGATCCAGTTACGACTACATCAACACAAAACCTATTCGACTCCCTCGGTGTAAGGTACCATCATGAGGCTCCCAATCACTTCAGCCGTGTACTTGGCTGTTCTCTTGGGTTCGCGCGTTGTCGTGGCCCAGTCTGAGGATCCTGGCGCCGCCGTCAGCACCATTACAGATACCACCACCAGTCCTGCGGAGCCTTCTACCACTCCTGATTCCGGCACTACACCCTCTGTCACTGATGGTGACACCCCAGACCCTCAAGTGACACCCACAGAGACCGAAATCACCGATCCGACAGTTCCTGTAGTGTCCGAACCTACTGTGACAGAGTCTACGGTATTCGAGCCTGCAGTGTCGAGTATCTTGTCTGGCAGCCTAGACGGTGTATCTGCCAGCACAACAGACGATGCCTCGTCCACCAGCGAATCCTCAGGGTCCATCTCGCCCAGCGCCTCAGCATCCGCCTCTCCTGACGAAGGAATGGAGATTACGGCAGTAGAACTGACCGAAGGCGAAGAGTCTACACTCGAGACACCACCGGATGTCACCACACCCGAAGAGCATGAGGCCGAGCTCGTGGAGAATCTGCCCGAAGTGCCCATGACAGAAGAAGACGCCAGAGACGTCGCTGTTTTGGAAACAGTCATGTTCGACTACTTTGTCGAGAACGCGCCTGCTCCAGGCGACGTCGGCAAGCTTGAGATTCCCGAGGCGATCTCGCAGTGTGAGGTGGCCTTGACAAAGAGAAGCGTCTGGGCTTCGGGTGCTGAGGCCCCTCGAGACTTGACGTCTCGGTCTCTTCGCGGAGGCTGGGACCAGTGCCGATACGTCTCGTCTCTGCAGTTCGACGTATACGTCAACTACATCAAGGAATCATACGATGCCGTGAGGCCCAATACGCTTGCGGACAGAATCGACGGTAGCGTAAGTGGCAGCATCGCTCAGAACCATGAAACTTGTCCTGACTTATATAGATTACATTCCTCAACTCCGTCTATGAACCTCTCGGAATTACCTTTAACCTCAAAGACAAACAATTCTGGCGCCCTCCGCAGACGGGCGACAACAGCGACTGGTCAGAAGTCAACAAGCTCGAGGACAGGCTGCTGCGATGGCAGCGAAATACTCGTGCTGGAAACAAGATGTCGCTCAATATCTGGCTGGTCAACACGCTCAAGAGCGCTGATGGAAAGAGGAGCCTGAACGGGGTGAGTCCATACTCTGGTACACATTGTCCCCCAGATGAGTTTTCTCACTGACGATCCGCAGTATGCCACACACCCTGTCAGCTTGAAGGACCCGAACAAGGCCTTCCGTGACGGCGTGGTGATGAAGGAGGGGCGCATGCAAAATCGTTACGCGCCGACTCTTGTTCACGAGGTAGGCCACTGGCTCGGCTTGCAGCACACCTTTGGAACGAAAGTCGCCAAGGCGGCGGACGATTGCCAGGCGGACGACGGTCTTCTGGACTCGACGCAGACGAGGGGTGCACCGGACTCCATCTATGAGTGCTCACAAATTCCTTGCGACGGAGACACTCCTCAGGACATCTCCAACTACATGAGCGTAAGCGATGCCGTTTGAAAGACAAGTTTGACAAGCTCTGGCTAACTTCTCGTTCAGTACTCAGCCTGCCGAGGCCGGGTTCCCGCCGAAGGTCTCACCACGGACCAGAAGTCTGCCATTTTTGCACGCACGATGAAGTTCCGCAGGTCCAATTCTGCAGGCGAATGTGTGGCTGAGGATCCCGACCCGAATGCTCTTGGGAAGCGCTCTTCGATGCAAGACCTTCTCAACGGCAATTGCCCCAACATCACTGCCGAGACCGAGCGAATCATCAACGAGAAGGTTAGCGTCGCTTCTGGACGTATGGCTACGTCCCACTGGGCATGGGCTTTCGTCACTGTTGCGAGCTTTATGGCTCTTGCTATGTAAACCGCACAAGTGATTTCTTGATGCAATGGTACTCCCACTGGCGGCACATGCCACTTTATGGTCTGAATATCATGGTTGGAAGACTGAAGCGGGATGGAAACGTGAATATGATCACATGATTAATTATTGGTTTTAAATGCTATTTTATCTTGTACAAGGCGTGGGCAAGCTTGTAAGCCCGTGAAAGGGTACAGAGCCTCTGCGCTTACTCGCGAATTCCGACGACATTACCAGCCTCATCAACAGAAACCGTGGTCTTCTTGGTGGACTCCTTGCGGGGGTTCGGAGCCTCGAAGACGACCTTGAGCTCCTCAAGCGTCTTGCCAGCGGTCTCGACGAAGAAGAAGAAGATGATGACCATCTCCACGCAGATCCAGACAATGTAGACGATGTACAGCTTCCATCCAATCTTCTCCATGCCGACAGAGATACCATAGCTGTTGACCATGATGGCAACGTTGAGGAAAAGGAAGTTGAGACCGGAGCCACGAGCACGGGTGCGGTTCTCGAGACACTCGACAGAGTACAGGGTCTGGAGAGGAGTGAAACCCCAGGCGAAGCAGATGCCGAAGAGGTAGATGGACACAATGACGCCGTACGACAGGTCAGGGGTCTTCTCCGAGGAGGCGGTGAAGGCGGTGAGGAGGATGTAGGAGATGAGACCACCGCTGAGACCAGCCAACATCATCTTGCGACGGCCGAGCTTGTCGAGGAGAGAGGCACCGTAAATGGCGGCGATCATGGAGAAGATGGGGTTGATGGCGTTGAGGAGGAGCTGGGTGTCGGTGTTGGTGATGCCGGCCTGCTTAATCATCTCAGGCATGAAGTAGCTGACGACGTTGTTACCGGACCACTGGCCAATGAAGGACATGGCGATGACCATGAAGAGACGGTAGCGCGCGGCGCGGGTGTTGACGAGCTCGCGGTAGTCCCACCACGGGTTCTCGTCCTTGGTCAGCTTGTTGTCCTCGACGATTTCGTGGTACTGGAGCTGCACGACGGGGGCGTTGGCGTTGCCATCACCGTGGTACTTGGCGAGAATGGCGAGGGCCTCCTCGGCACGGTCGTGAGAGATCAACCAACGAGGAGACTCGGGGAAGAACAGAATGAGCGCCATGACGATACCAGGGAGACCGGCCTGGATGACGGTGGGGGTGCGCCAAGCCCAGGAGTTGTCAAGATGACTGAATTCTATTAGCTGCGGTTCTCCGTGATGCAAAGTAAAAATCAGGGATGCTTACAGGTTGGAGCCGTAGGTGGTCCAGCCAGCCAGAATGTTTCCGAGCCACCAGAAGTTGTTGTCTATGTCAAGTCAGAACGTTGCGAAGATAACAGAGACGAGTGCATGCCAACTTACACATGCCAGCCATGAAACCTCTGTAGGCCGGGTGAGCGAGCTCGACGGTGTAGGCAGGACCAGCAGCTGAAGCGACTATTGGCGAGTCAGTAGTGGACTCAAACGTTACATGCGCGACTTTGACCTACTCGAAGCACCGAAGCCGAGAACAAATCTGCCGCCGATGAACATGCCGAGGGAGGTGGCAGGAGTTTGGATAGCAGTTCCGATGAGCACAATAGCACAGCCAACAAAGATACAGATACGACGACCGTAGCCGTCAGCGAGCCAACCGCAGAAGGGGAAGGCCACAACCTGGCCGACGTTGTAGATCATGAAGACAATACCGGTCGTGGAACCGGCACCCGTGAGGCCGAAGCTCTCCTGGTATTGGGGCATGGCGTTGATGGCGCCCATGAGGGAGCTGTCTGTTGGAGGCAGAGTTAGCGAAAATGTGTATGACGTAGGGCTCGCGACGTGGGGGGGGAGTGGCGTACCGAAACCGTTCATGGTCGAGACGAGGTAACCAATGCCCATGATCATGTACAGACGGATCATGTTGGCGCTCCAGATGTTGGGCTTCTGCTCGGCCATGGCGGCAGCCAGGGCAACGGAGGTCGCGTTGACCTCTGTCACCTTGCCGACGCCCTCCTTGCCGGCCAAAGGCTCCTCATGCTCAAAGTGAGGCTTCGTCTCTTCGTGAGTCGCCATGTTGCTGAGTGGATGCTGCTGCTGCTCTGGAACCGACTGTTTGGGACCGGATGAGGAGAGAGTTCCATCAAATCCTCCAAATCTGGGGATGTCGATCACCTCTTATACACAGCAGCAACGAAGACTGGGGCGGACCGTCTGTCGGGCATCGCTCCGAACTGCATGTCAGAGAAAACGTGGGATTCCCCAACTCCATCCCCAGTTCCGGAGGGGTCTGCGGGGATGGTTGGAGTCTGTCTAGAGGGGAAATCGTTATGCCCCTGGCTCTGTTTGGTAGTCCCTTGAATCTTGCCCCCCTCCTTCTTCTCGCCCACGGGGCACACGGAGCCGCCAAGCGCACTCGTTGCTGTCCTGGGGTTGGCTAGATCGTTGGGGCAGCCGGGTCTAGCCCTCTTCGTCCCTAGACCCGGGTCTTCATTTCTGGCTATGTCTGAAGTTGGTCCTAGCATCGCAATTCCCTGACTCGGAGCCGAGTGCCGGCTCTCGTAGTCTGAATGCTCGTGTACTTTGTAGGACGTGGGTGGGCTGACCGGGAGCGTCTTTTTTTCTTCCTCCCTTTGGTACAGCATGGCCCAATCTCACGAACTGGAGACCAGAGCGGAGAATAACACACACGAAAAAGGTCGAGCTGGACCCCCTTGTACATAGCAATTTGGGTTCGAGTTTGTCATGTGATGCAACAAATGTCGCTTCCAGCCAAGCTGGGCTCGTCAGAGGCTTGAATTGCGACACACTTTTGCTATCGATGACGATATATCGCGGGACAACGCCCAGGAGCGGGAGGATTGCCGGTCCGGACAGGTGGCTGCGCCGCATCGGTCTGGCGTGCAGAAGCTTGATCGGGAGGCGGCGCGGCTCAAACAGCAGCAGGACACTGATGTTTATTAGCAGCCAACAACAAGAACACCTCAGAAGGACGCAAGCTAAACTCGATTGTGTGCATGTGGGCTGCTGGTGCTGTTGAACGGGGATGTCAGTGCCGAGGCAACCCACATTCACGAGTCAGCCAGGGGGGTAAAAATCTCCGCCCTGGCTGGTCATGAACCGGCTGTTGCCGCTTCTTGAGTGCCAAGAGCCTGCGTTGGAGGCCGTGGCCCTGCTTCTGAGACCCAGTCGAGCGGCCAGTATCCCGCTGCTATCCCGCCACGTTGTGGGGGCACCACTGTACAAGCTCGTCCAGACCTGGAGACGGTTTCGCGGGGACTCCCCATGGGCGTGTGTTGCTGTGCAAACATTGGCTGACACCAGCGCGGAGAAAATATCGCATCTCGGTGTGCGGCTGGCCGAGCTGCACGTTGGTGCGGCCTCTGGCGCGCGCCTCAAGTTATGGCTTTCATTTCTGGCGTCAAGGCATTGGGCGCTAGGTGGCTCACCAGTCATGTCATATACTTTCTGTGCTGTCCGATCTGGCCAGGGGGACCTATGTTGGGCTGGCGGCGCTGCCCTTGAATCGCACACGATGTGGCACTTATCTCCGAAGCGAACGGGTCCTCTGATGAATAGTGGACAAACGAGCGCAGTGCCGACGGTAATTAGTGAAATCAAGTTTTTCTGCATCTCTTTACTTGCTCACGCTACATCAAATCATGTACAAGAAATCCTTAGTCTGCCCTCGTGCATCTCCGAATTCGACTTTGCTGCATCAATGGTCACCCACCACGTGCGAGATCATGGCCCACATGCCCCGACAATAGGCTTGTCACGTCCTTTCTCGATCAATGCTTATTTCCAAACAAGCTCGAACCAGCTGAACACAACGGAGTTTCCCAGAGACTGCACGGCCCGGTCTCTCTTGGCGGTCATTCCAGACCACCGGCTGTTGTTGCTCAGACAGCTGCTGTCGGGGCCGCAGGTGCGGTAGCAGCATCGTCGGGCACGAAGAAAGCCCACTCGCCGTTCACATCAGCAACCGTCAGTTTCAGATCATCATTGTCGGCCTCGAGGGTGCCAATGGTATCGTCAATGACAAACGTGTTGGTCTGAGTGTTGAGACGGCCAGCACGTCCGCGACTGAGGTTGAGAGGGTCTGAGTGGTACAGTATCAGCACGTGAAGGTTAAGCGCTATGGATGTTTGACAAGGAGAGAGACTCACTGTTGGGGTTGATGACAAACTCGACCTCGGCCTTGGTGAGGCCGGTGGTAACCTCGGGAGCATTCACCTGGTAGGAGACATTCTCGAGGGCCTTGAAGCCCGCAGGTGCCGCCGGGGGGTTGGCGTTTGTCGTGACCGTCACCGTGACGGCCTTCGATGACTGGACGCCAAACTCGAAGCGGCCGTTGCTCTATCAGGTTTGTTAGTCTCGATATTGACTATTGACTGATGGTCAAGATCTTAGCATTGTGGACTTACGCCGGCAGGGAAGAAGGTCTCGGTGTCCACGTTGGCAGCGATAGAAACAGGAACACCATACTCGCCGCGCAAGTCGGCATCATTGGTGTCAACCCTGTCGTTGGCGTCGTTGTCGGTGAGATCAGCAGTGCTGTCGTTATCCGTATTGTTGCCAGCGGCCTGGCGCTTGCGCATGGCCTCGCGACGCTTGGTGATGGATCGCTTGCTCTTCTTGGTGGCGGGCCTGGCAGGCGTTGGCGCAGGAGCCTGCCTGTTGTCATCGGTCAGGTCGCCGTCAGTGGCGCTGCCGTCATTGTCCGTGAGGCTGTTGACGCCGTCAGTCTGGTCACCGTCGGTGTCACTGGCAGGGTTGCCAGCCGCCTGGCGCTTGCGGTTGAGTCTGCGCTCAGCGGCGGCAAGCGCCCTCTTGGAGTTGGACCTTCGGGCAGCAGGCCTCACACGTGCAGGGGCAGCGGGCTGTCTGTTGTCGTCGGTCAGGTCACCGTCGGTGGCGCTGTTGTTGTTGTTGTCAGTGGCGCCGTCAGTGACACCGTCAGTTGCGTTGCCATCGGTATCAGTGAGAGCACCAGCCTGACCGGGAGCCGGAACAGCAGCCTGCGCCTTACGGGCAAACTTGCGGTGCCTAGCGGCCAGCGCGCGCTTAGACTTGGTAGACCTGGCGGGCGCGGGAGCAGGAGCGGGCGCGGCCCTGTTGTCGTCGGTCAGGTCACCGTCGGTCAGATCGTTTTCGGTGGCCGAGGCAACGCCATCAGTGGCATCGCCGTCAGTATCGGTCAGAGCACCACCTCGACCGGCTCCTTGGCTGGGAGCTGCGGCCTGTCGGCTGACCTTGCGATGTTGAGAAGCGAGAGCGCGCTTGGTGTGAGTGGACCGCCTGGCCGGAGCAGGTGCCGGAGCGGGCGCTGGGGCGGGAACAGGAGCCGGAGCCGGGCGGTTATCATCCGTCAGGTCGCCATCGGTGGCATCATTATCAGTGAGGTCGTTGTCAGTGGCCGGGTTGGCGCCGTCAGTGGCATCATTGTCGGTGTCCGTGAGATTGCCTTGGCCAGCACCCTGAATAGGGGCGGGAGCGGCAGCTTGAGCCATGCGAGCCACCCTCCGCTGGGCAGCTGCGAGGGCACGCTTGGAGTCGGCTCGCCTGGCGGGCTTGGCAGGCGCCGGGGCCGGCCTGTTGTCATCAGTCAGATCGCCGTCAGTGGCACTGTTGTCTGTGACACCATCCGTGACACCGTCGGTGGCATTGCCGTCGGTATCTGTGGCGTTGCCTTGGCCAGTAGCCGCGCCAGCCTGGGCCTTGCGGCGGCTGACCTTGCGAGAGGAAAGATGGGTGCGTGAGCGCTTGGACTTGGTCACATAACGCTCGCGCTGGACAGGGGCGGGGGCCTGTCTGTTGTCGTCAGTCAGGTCGTTGTCCGTGGCGTTGCCGTCAGTGGCGTTGCCGTCGGTAGCATCGCCGTCGGTATCAGTCTGATTGCCGCCACGGCCTGCGCCCTGGCCTGGAGTCTGACCAGGGGCTTGACCGGGAGCCTGCCCAGGGGCGCCGGCTGCCTGAGCCATGCGGCTGACCTTGCGGTCATTGGAGGTAGAGACAGATCGCTCGGAAGACTTTGAGGATGTAGGAAGGGCGTTGATGGCAGAAAGCTGGGCGGCCAGCACGACGACGGAGGAGAACTTCATGGTGAAGGATATGAAAAGTTGGATAGAGAGTCTACTCTGTGTGTGAATCGAAAAACTGTCAAAGTTTGGAAGGGACTGGAGGTGGCGCCTGGAAATGAATGGCTAAAGCAACGTGAGAAACAGATTGAGAAGTAAAGACTTGTGAAGCGGAAGTGATGCTGATGATGGAGAGACAACAACCACAATGAATAGAAGCGACAGCCAGCACCATTAAATACAGTCGTTCGTGATCGATCAAATGGTCGCGTGCTTCGCTTCCGCAACTGAAGCCCGAAGGTTCCGTAGGGGTCCGCCAAGGCGGAGTTGAAACTCGCATAGAGCTACACGTTGAGATGAAACCAAGTCAGGCGCGGGACGATCATGTCGCTTTCCCCACAGTTTCAGACGACGTAGGCGACATGTGTATATTTAGCAACTAGACATCCTATCACGAGTCATCAACATGGCATGTCATCTGTAGATACCCAATCCGAGACCAAGGTGGCAGTGTCCACTTTGGATGGCCTACCCGTTGGCACCCCTTAGGGCCATTATCATCTGAACTCGTCTCTCGCAGCATTACCTCATCGGAGGATGGATCCAACAGGTTGAGACACCGACTTCAGACACACCTCGTCCGTTCTTTCGTCCCAAAACCATCCGTTCAGCCTATTCGTCGTGTCCAACCATCTGGTCGTCGGCGATCGCGAAGAACTACAACTTTGGGATGCTACCATCCTCATCAGTTGCTCTCGGACGTGTTCGTCGAGTCAGCTCAGTAATCAACACAATACAGGGCTGCGCCTCTTCAGATCTGTGCCTTGGTTGTAGTTCATCAACTAGTTCGTTGGCATAGCCATGATTCACGAGCCCCCGCATCAAATGCCTCATATCGATATTGTTGGGGTACAGGAGAAGCTGGGTTCGTGGACGAACTTGGTGTCTGCAGACGTTGATCAAACAACCTTATGGCGATTTAACACGTTCCGTCTACCGGTGCACCCCGGTTCCTCCGTGAAGGAGCCTTGAGAGCCTGCCAAAGTCCCCTATGTGCATACGTCAATGCGACGATACGGAGAAGAGATCCGGCGTATTGGAACCCCGTACCCACCGAATCGCTCCAGGCTACGCGTCGTTCGACAAGGATGCATTTACGTCAGAGCTTGCAGGAAGTGGGATGTTACCTCCCGACATGATTCACGGCCATGTTACAGCCTCTCTTGCTCCTCTCGTGACAGGTGCCGTAGAGCCGGTCCGCCTCGACTCCCGTCGCCCGCCATGACGAGCTTGCTCTGGCCAGGCTCAGCCGCCCTCAACCTCCACTTCGCGCGGACCTCCGCAGAGGCCTTTGCCTCGAAGCAGTCGGCAATCTGCTTGCCAATAACGGGCAGGAATTTGAAAGCGCTAGATTCAAGTCATTAGCAATATATCTGTTTGCCCAGTGGGGCGGCGGCGCATTGCGAAAGATCAACACAGACTTACTGTCCTGAGCCACCGGTAGCAATAAACAGACCCTCTATCTCTGGGTGATCGTCGACAACGAAATTGCCCTCGGGCGTGTCGTTATACCAGCATAATCTCGTCTTGATGAAAGGTCTCTCCGCATAAGCTGGTGCCAGAACGCGCAGGCCCTCGCGCAGACCTTGCTCGGCATCTTCCGGGATAAAGTCCGCGCTGGCGTTGCAGCTGTTCGTCTTTGGGACGGATACAAGCCTCTCCCCGCTCACACGGTCACCCTGCGCCGGGAGCTTGGTGGCGTAGCCAAAACCATGCCTCACGACCTTGAGTATGTGCGTGTCTGGCGTGGGGGGGAACGTGAAGACTCCCGAGTCCATGTTGATGATGACAGGCGTGGGCTCCATCGCAGCTGCTTCTGCAGGCGTCAACTGGATAAAGGCGACGGGCTGTCCTGAACCGCGGACAGCGTGTTCGAGGCCACCGATCAGACCATTGGTCCAGGCGCCGGCCGCCAGCACGACGCGAGATGCCTTGAACGTCGCGCCGCTGGCCACTTGGACGCCGACGACTCGCTTGCCCGGATCATCCCGCAACAGCTCTGTCACGGTGCCGTGTTGGCCAGTCATGAACGAGACGCCGGCCGAACTGGCGCGCGCGGCGAGAGCCCTGATGCTGGCTGCCGCGTCAACCCAGCCGCCTTGGGTGTTATGCGCAGCGTTCAGGCCCGTGAGGTCAGCGGTGGCGCCAGGATAAGCGGACCTGATGGCGGCGTTTGATTCGTCTGAGCCCCAAATGTCGACCTTGACGGATCCCGCCGACCTGTCCCTCGCCTTGACGAAGTAGGGATTCCCATCGTCGGCGGCAAGCATGACGAAACCACTCTCGTGGTAGAAGGAAGAGAAGTCGGGCTCGCGCCACTCTTGAATCGCATCGCGCGCGAGTGACTCGTAGAAGGAATCGGCATACTCGCTGCGAATGATGCGCGAGATGTCGACGCTGCTGCCGTCCGGAACCGGGGGCAGATGGCGGTCGAGGACGGTGACGCTGTCGTAGCCGCGACGGGCCTTCAGCTCATAAGCGAGACTGAGGCCGAAAACGCCGGCGCCGATGATGAGTACATCCTCTTGCGGAGACGGGGGGCGGAACGCGGGCATGACTACGGGGGTGTTTGGGGTCAGACCGGGGGTTGGCGGGACTTTCAGTGTTGGGAACGCTCCCGCTGTCCAGAAAAATATAGGAAGCAAATTGCGCCCTTCGACTGATTTACGCTAGTATTTCAGTCGCAAATCCTTCTTCGACCATCGGTCTGCTAGAAGCTGACGCGTGGGCGGGGAACCTTCGGCGTCTCGGCACAAGATGAGTCAAGTTGGTGGAGGACAACGTCTTGGAATCCCTCGATTCGCTGCTCGGCTGAGGGTATATGGGCCTACACCTGTAGGAACGCTGATTGTGAATTTCCAATGCTTTAAGTGATGGCTCCAAGATCCCGTCTATTCAGAGATCAATGGGCCTGACATTGCCAAGGGCGAAAGGGGTGGGTTGAACCATGTAATTCCTATGCGAAGCACACCAGGGTCTCGGTTTACGAGCCAAGGCCGAAGTTCGCATCATGGCGAATGTTTCTCTTGTGCGGGGTCCAATCCTTCGACGAGATCAGTAGACAACCACTCCAAAGGGGATTGAGGACAGAAGAATCACGATGTCGTAGCAACGTTTTTCTTGCTTGAACGCAATTCATAGCAGCTCATCCTGAACAGTCAGGCGACCGAGACCATGGCAGCGCTGAAGTCACAGCCAGAGCAATACCACATCAAGCCCACGGCGCACTGCCCAAACAACGTGCTGCCCGTTCTCGTCTATCGCGACGTGCTGCCTCGACCTCACAACGAGGTCACAACGAGCGAAGCGCTCGAAAAATTTGGCTGGGAGAAGCGCGGCACGTTCGGCACAATCATCATCAAGCATTTCCACCCAAACACGCATGAATGCTATGGTCCGTTGCCCATGTCGAGCTGCACACTGGCCAGCACCTGTAGTAACGCGAATCCTAACATGCCACCATAGGTGTCTTTCAAGGCAGCTCGGAGCTCGTCTTCGGCGCAGGCGGAGCTGATGGCCCGGCCGCAGGCGTGACGTGTCGAGTCTACCCCGGCGATGTCATTGTCGTGCCGGCCGGGGTTGCTCATGCTTCGGTGCCGACTGTCGGGAAGCCGAAAGTGAAGTGGGATCTCGACGAAGACGAGCTGCACTACAAGTACATCGGTGTGTACCCCAGGGACGGCCCGATTTGGAAGGTTGAGTATGGAAAGGAAGAGGTTCCGCAGAATGACCCATTGATCGAGGAGATCGCGTTGGTCGACATTCCTGCCGACGACCCTATCAGCGGACCAGACGGGCCCCTGTGCCAGATCTGGAGGGCCGCGAGGCAAGGAAAGTGTTCTGAGACGTTCTAGTCATTAATCAGGGAGGCGAAGGACTGGATGCCGTCAGCCTCTTTGCAAAGCGAATGACACAGCCAGCCCACAAGATATGTCTGGACAGATCCAACATTTTCTCACGCAAAACGACAATAGTACTATTCCAAAAGAAAAAAATGCCACCAATTTTCGCAATCCACAGAGCCAGGGGTTCGAAATATCATTGCATACTCCATAACTCCTTCGGCTTGCCAAGGGTATCATAAGCCGCCATTCATCATTCCGTCGTCGCCATCGTAACTCCTTAGGCTGCTCTGTCCACCAAATCAGACACCAATGTCCACACCGCGCGGGACGCGGTGAGCGTTGAAGAATCGTCCTCCCCGGAGCCCGTCGCGAAAACCTTGATTCGGTTCTCCGACAAGGCGAAGCCGCCACAGGCGATCTTCGTGATCCGGACGCTCGGGTGAAAGAGGTCAATGGCCAGGTGCTTGTCAAAGTACTCAGCCGTGGCCTCAATAAATGGCTGCCTGACAACGCCAGCTTCCCGTCCCTCGCCATCGCGCCAGGCCCAACCCTCCTCACTGCTGCCGCCTGCCAGTTTGCTTCGCTTGCGGGAGTCGTTCTCCCAGCTCTGAGACGCGCGCTTCCTCTTTGACCCAACGCCTCGTGACTCGCCGACCTGGACGAATCGACCGAGGTCTGAGGGCGGAATGATAATATCGACTGACTTGATACCGAGACTCTCGACGGCGGGAGCCGAGCCTTCGAGCGCTGCGACAGGCTCTGTAGGCGGCGCCGTGAAGAATCCCAGCGTTAGAACGAGGTCCTTGGCCAGAGGACCCTGGGTAGGCAGACCGGCCTGCTCGATCCATCGCTCCCACGACGCAACGAGGGTTTTCGTTCCGAGGCGCAGGGGACTGATGCGACAATCAAACGTCCTCGCGAGAAAGTCCGTGACAAAAGCCTTCATCGGCGTCGGCATGCGAAGAAGCAGCAGCGGAAGGTGAACGAACCGCCCTTTCTCCGCTTCCGTGTCCTTATCTATCCCAAGCCAGCCGGGCATGGCCGCTCCATTGCGCCCATGAAATGCATCGTCGGAAGCCCGGCCTTGGCCCTCGAGCTGAGGCAACATGATGGCCGTGC